GCATCCTGCTGTATGTTTATGAAGTTTTTTTTTCTCTGTCCAGAGATTTTATTTTAAAGACTGAAGCAATTTCTTTTTAATAGAAAAGAAGATTCATATATTCTAAGGAAAGAAAAATCTTGCATTGTTTTCTGGGAGATACAGCATAACATGTTGGCTTGTATAATTTTCAAAAATGAATTTATTAAAAATCCACAAACACAGAATATCTTTGATTTCTTTTCATCAGGAAGGCAACTACTCCAGAAAAATACGCAAGAAAAAATCCCCCCATTTTTTCTCAATACAGATCACTTCTAGGAAATGGTAATATGTTTTTGTGTGGAATGTAACTGTATATATGAGAGAACACTGGGAAGGAGATGTAATAATAAACTTTAAATATATTAAATGTATTTGCAAAAGAGAAGAGAACAGATTATTCTAGTCATCCATGGATGGCATAGGAAGAAATCAACTTCAGTTGCACCAAGGGAAATTTAGATAGTATTTTTGGAAAACTCAGAAAGTCAGTCAGAGCTGATTGTTCACATATCTGCAGCACAGTCCTCTTAATGTATTCCCTGTGTAAATCAAGTCCTTGCCAGGACACAGGTACAAAAATGTCAGGAGAATATGAGTGAGGAATGGCTGGAACGTGGAGCATGCATCACACGCATGGTGCAAACTCATGCACAGCAGATGGCCCTATGTTACTTCTGAGGGGAAAACACCCCAGTTCTCCATTGCAGTAAAATATTAAAGTGGACATGGGTGTTTTGGAGGTACCTTGTTTAGAACAACTCAAGATTGATGAATGTGTACCATGTTCTTCAGATAAAGTTCAGTCATAGCAGTCTTCCACAAAATATCCTGATACATGGCTTACAGCCCAAAAAAGTTGGAATAAGAGTATACAAGTAAAACATTTCCACTTGTCTTCTTGTTTATAATGTTTGATGCCAGCAGACATAAATGTATGAGGTGCACTGTCTGGACCTTTAATTGTTAGGAAAAATGAAGAACTGAACTGAACTAAATTAAGAGGACTCAGTCTAAATAGCATGGACGGAGAGAGTAACTCCTGGTAACATGGGTCCAGTAGAACAAGATAAAGTAAGGCAGGGTAGTTAACAGCTCAGCTGTATGACCAGAGGACCAAGAATTGATGAAAACTTATTGAACAACTTTTTTAGGCAGAAAGCAGACCTTCTTTAGAGTGATAAGTTTTCATGTGAAATTAAAATAACCACAAATATTACATTTTTTTTGGTTATGACTTTTTTTCAAATGTTTTATGCTGTAATGCCTATGAGTCTGAGATCCAAACACTGTGGAACTGGGGTCCTCCTGCCTTTTACAGGCTTTGGGGCAGAATGTGCCAAAAGCTTGGTCTGGGCACCTCTGAACTAGAGGATCACTGTTCAGAAGCAGACAGCTAATAGAACTTGGGACCAAATAGCTATGCTGGGATAATTTCCTAATGCTAGCCAGCTTTTCACATTTGTATGTGCAGAGAAAAAAAACCCTGGCTGAAATTTGTGCTCAAGAGAGAAATCAGAAGGAAAAATTTACTTCTCCAGTCTGTCCAATCTTCACCTATAGCCTGTTTAACTGTGTCTGTATAAGGTACAGAGTTTTATGGCATCTCTTACAGGCTCACTGTATCATGTTTGCAGACATATTAAAAATGTGACAGTCACAGTAGCATCAATGTATCCATTGGTACTTCATTGATATTTCTTCCAAATTTTCAGTGCCATGACACTTGGAAAATTGTATATACTGCTTTACGGCCTTTTCCAACTCACCTTGAAGTAAAGGACATGTTCAGGTTAATTTTCTTTTATGTAAAAGCCACTCATAAGAATTCATCATCAACAGGGCAGCAACTGTATAGAAGAAATTAAGCTGTATGGCAGATTTGTTAAAATCAAACCATACATTTTCTCAGCTGATTAGCAGGTGTTTGTTACACCTGTGTGCAAAAATTCCCAGGGTTCAATGTCAGCCTTTGAGCTGACATTGTCACTGCCATGGTGCAGCAGCCTAGTTTTAATATTCTGAATTGTAGTATTATGCAATATTGGGAACATGGGGAATAGTGTCATCTTTAAAACTAGTGGAATTGCTTTCTTTCTAATGTATTTCAATCAGTTCTGTTTCTTTATTTTCAATTCACAGAAAATTACAGAAAAGTAAATATTCTTGAAGCTCATACCCTTAATTTCGAACAGACTTTAAAGCTTCTTTGGTACTGTGCAAATCCAGTGACCAGTCATCACTAAAATTTGTGAGATAAAAATAAGAATGCTGTTGTATGGGCTTATTTTGTGCATTAATGATAGGTGCAGGTGCTAAGAGCATATCTTAGTTACTAGGAAAACTACATTCAGCTATTTATTATAAATGGCTCAAATTATTTGCATATAGTATTATTGAATTTCATAATGTAGCAATAATAATTCACAGCACTAAGAAGGAAATATTCAAATACTTTAAATCACACTATTTTTACAGAACAATTTCCCTAAAGTAATTAATTCTCACTGAACTCCTGAAAAGCATGTGGATATGTAAGGTTATTTCCAGTTTACAGACCAAGAGGTAGGGATCACAGATTCCCAGCTGTGAAGAAGCTTCCTGGGCAGGAGCTTTCTGAGCTTAGAAAGCAAGATGATATTCTTTTTCTTTCATTTATTCCTATTTTCAAGCCCCTACACAGCAGTTCTCTCTTCCAGTCCTCTTCAGCTTCAGACAGAAGTGCTAACATACCGATGAGCTTTTAATGAAGCATTTTTATAGTTTGCTTTCTACCCTTTCAGTGTATGTCATGGTAAAATATTAAATCACTAGGACTTTACAGATGATACTTGATAATAGGATCTTACCTCACAGAGCTTAAAATTTTTATTAGTGTTTATAGTACTGGTTTGAGGTATTTCACATAGTATTTCCCTGGGCAACTGTTAGGAGAGATTTTAATGTTTAACACATGTGGCTGTGCAAAGTACTGTAACACATGATTTTACCATTGTTATCTCTATGTCCTTTTGTTTTTTCTTTTAATAATTTCTTGCTTTAACAAAGTGTTCTTTTTGAATAGGATCCTTGTGCCTGACAGTCTTTGCCTATGAAATTCCCCAGACCAGGAGTCCTAGCTGAATGGGTGGCAAGGTCTAATAAACCTTTAACCTCTTTTTTTTTTGTGTGTGTGCAGAGAGGGCAGGGGACAGGGGGAAGCTGACTGTGAACTCATGCAGGGATGTTTCATCCAAGATAAATGGCTTTTCAACCCTGACCAGTTAACCAACATGCAAATGCCTCTTCTGGAAGTATGTGTCCATCAGGGACTTCTGGAGATATGAAACTGTCAGGAGAGTTTAGCTCATGTTTCTAGCAGAGATGAACAGAGAAAGAAAAAGGGCCTCAAACATAACTACTTTGCTGGAACTTATGTGATGTTTTTTGTTTTGTTATTACTTCCTCTTTTTTTAACTGCTGGCCTGTATTATTATTCTATTCATGAAATAGAGATATTTAAACTCTTTTGATTATTTTTTTAAATCCTGTTTCCTATTTTAAAAATATTTAACCTTCTCAGTGAATATGCTCTGCAGAGTAACACATGATGGCCACCTCTTGGTAATGTCTGTTATTTAAAGAAGAGATTTCAGTCCATGTTTTAGGGTCATGCATGAACACAGTTCACTTTCACTTGCAGTAACATGCTGATCCCAGAAGGTGACAAATGTACTTATGAACCTGCAGTAACTGGAGAACAAGCTCCTGAATTAGCTTATCCTTATCAACACTGACTACATGTTGAGTCACAAATGATTGTTTGTGGGAGAATGCCTTTGGAAGCTTTTGGAAACTTCAGCTGTGATTGGCTCTAAAAGACATGTTTGCCACCTAAAACTGAAGAGAAGACCATACAATTTTGAAAGACTATTTAGTGTGTTAGGTATTCAGAACTCACTATATCCCTTACCTAATTATCTCTCATGCTCCCTGTTTAAAGGATAGAGAAACTGAGGTTGGCAAAAAAAGTAGTTCACAGGGATTACAAGAGAAGCTCTTGATCCTTTGAGCAGAGCAACAATCTGGCTGTTTTTCAACCAGCTGGCCAACTTTATGCATTTGTTTCTATAAAAGATGTGGCAACAGTGCAGACTGACCTATGTGTGGTCAATCTATGATGGTTATTTGTCCAAGGTAGCTATTTCTTTGTGTTTCAGAGGCAGCCTGTCTCCATCAAGCTGATCCATACTGATTTACTTCTTGCTCCTGTGGAGTATAGCTGATTTGAGAAATTCTGGTTTTATGCTTTTTTAAAAAATTCTGTTTTTATTTTACTAACCAACATGAAAGGTGTTCAACAATTCAGGCCTACCCTTAGGGGAAGCCTGTTCCCAGAAATGAAATTTCTTTTTTGTCCAATGTTGTGTTTCTGAATGAAACAAAAGTTTTTTGCAAAAGCAAAACTTAAATGTACTGTTTGAGCTAGGAATATTAATCACTGATAATGAGACATTTACTGTCAGGCAAATAAAGAAAAGAGTTGAGTCTCTATCAAATGTGGCCTTGATAAATGCAGAACTAAATGAAGACATTAGCTATGGAGCTAATTACTTGTGCTTATAGAGCTGGCTATGTGGCAGTTGAGACATAGGATAGATTAAAAGACTCTAATTTTTTTTTTCAAAATATTTACACTCCAGCATCTCCTTCTTGTTTTATTTTCTTTAATGTATTTGTTTTTTAACCACTCTATCGACTTCCTGCCTGGCATAACAGGCTTTTCAAGGAATAGAAATTTTCATCTGAAAAGTTTACCTTAAAACAGCAATTTCAAGCAGCCACATTTAAGTTCCCTGTAAGGACCCTTATTCTCTTCAGAGCAGGGATCACATTACATACTAGGCTTTTGAAAAGCAACAACACCACTGCCAAAGTCTCACTACCCTTAATGACTTCTCATGTATCAAGTTGCCTTTTTGCTGTCAAATGCCATTGGAGTGCAAATAGTTTGGTCCTTGCTAGGGCTGATGTCACTGAACCGAGTGCATTTAGGATATGCATCTCTATATTCACTTCATTTGGAAATAGATAGATAAATATATATGGAAAGAAAAGAATGGATGAAAGGCTTTTTTCTGCTAAATAATTTGGGTGTCTCTTTTCTCTGTTTTAGTCAAATACATGAGAGTAGTTTATAAATTAGTTGAGCTGGAGTTGCCAAACTTGGCTGTATATCTGAGCAGCCTGGATGGAAAGCCTTTGCAACTGATATTGTCCTCAAGCAGCTGATCATCAGAGCATTTCCTTCCCATACCCAAACCAGCAAAATGACCACATCCAGCAGGCAGAGCTCTTCTACGTCTATGGTCAACAACTTGGCCAAAATATTCGATCCAAACTCTTTGCAAAACCAAGGGCCAGGTAATGGAATGGAACCTCCTCAAATTCTTCATGTTGAGAGAAGTGATGTCAGCACATCTGAAAGTTTCAACATCATGGATGTGAAGTTTGCCTCCCTTGAAGAGAAAATTGATAAACTGTTGACTCTGCAAGACAATGTCCTTAAGAAGCTTAACAGTGTTTCCCAAGAAATCTGTTGCATTGAAAAAGACATGGAGATGGTAAAGGCGGAAACATCTGAACCTGGATCAAGGATGGAAAGAAACAAAAAAATGAGAAATAATGAAGTGAAGAGACTTTGCCTTAAAATGAAAAAATCTCTTTCTGATATAAACAGGAAAGCTGAGCAGCAGGTTAAAAGGCTAGATGGACTTGAACAAAGTGTTTCTGGACTACAGAAACTTGTAGGACCTCTGGTAGAAAAGGTGAAAACATTAGTAATTCATAATTCAAGTGTAAAACATCATGTTAAAAAACGAAAAGTTTGCAAGGCAGGAGCTGGACATCCCTTTAGGATGCACATTTTCTCGGAGACAACAGCTGGTGATCTGCTCAGGAAGAAAAATGAAAAGGTGAGCCCAGGTTTGTGTTTCATCTTGGCAGGAATCATTGCAAGCTACAGATATGTTCTGCTACATGCTCAGCTTTTTTGTTTTGTTCACATTTAAGAAAGAACAACCAATGTGCTCTAAAAATGAAAAGTATAAGAACAAACGGAGCAAATTTCAGTGGAAAAAATATTGAAAAATCTACTTGTTATACAGACCTTCATTTTTTTCCTAACTGTTCCTTTGCAGCTGTAAAACATAACAACAAAGAACATAAAAAAGATTGACAGACTTCAGGAGTCTTGGGTCCTGGCCATGAATTTTACAATGATCTTTTCTGGATTTATAATTATCTGGGGGAGTCAAGTTGCAGCAGTTGTGTTATGAGCACCAGGATCTAGAGATTAGTGGAACTGGTAAAAAGCCTCCTTGGGTCAGGGCATATACATATGTTTGTTCTTTATTTCAAGGAACATCTTAAATGTGCTCTTCCTATCTGGTATTTCTCTCCATTGGTGAGCACTAGGGGACTTCTAAACTGGGATCTGAGGTAGGGTTACTGTAACTGGAGCTGTGGCTTGTGTAAACTTCCCTGGGTAAAAAATCCCTCTGTTACCATAATGAGAGTTTCATCATGTTCTTTAAAGTTCAGATTAAAAGACACCAAAAATCTCTTGAAAGACTCTCTTCATTGTAATAAGTTTTTGTACAGTAGTTTCAGTATTCTTTTTTGGTGAAGAAAATTAAGGAATTTCTTCTGACAAAGTATGTTGGTAATTAACCCACGGTGAACCAAAAAGGTTGCTTTTCATATTTTGTTCCATTTTTCTTCATTTTTTATTCTCCCAAAAAGTCACATGCAGGCTTTACTCTTTGATTCATTTAAAGACTAGTTCTTGAGTTTGTTTTTCTAAAGTTTTTGAGCAGGAAAAACATCATGTGAAGGTGCTACTGGAAACAGCATTCCTTGAAGAAAAGAAGCACTGCAGCCACTATTACTCAGAATGGCCTGGTCAGCAAACCGTGTGCTTTTCAGTTTGGTTACCCTAAGGCAACCCCACTTCACAGATAGACAGAAGAATTTGAGCCTTTAAAGGAAACTATAAAAATATCAGTCAGTGCTGAGTAGTAGCAGAGGAGCATCTTGTAAAGCTCAGTCAGCTGAACTGACTGATCTGTTGCTATGTAAGGATATAAAATGTGCAACCTTGTTTCCAGAGTATCATTAACTGAAGAGAAAAATAGCTTTCTTGCCAGAGAAGACTGATCTCAAAAATCATCATTACAGGCCCTTCTTGAACATCAGGCTGGACTGGTTTAAAAAAGGAGTTTCAACAGGAGAGAAGTTTTCTTGTTTGACACAATTACTTTGATAAGAAAAGATTATTTATTTTGAGCATCTGAGTTTAGGGCTTCTTTTACTTTTCAAAACATCAATGAAGACATCTGTTGTAAAAGCCCCATTGGAGTGAGACCCACAGGTCATCTCTGTAATGCTGCTGTCACTGCAGTTTGCAGTACAGACCTACTTATCTCAGTGAAAGTACGTACTCATCTAAAGTATTTATAAATGAAAACTGAATCAGCCCTGGCATGTTAATGAACTGGCACCTCCTGGAGACTGGAGAGGATGCAAGGCTCTCTGCAATAGAAACACAGGGCTGAAGAAAGGCGAGGACCTTGCAGGCTTTGCAAGTGAGTTTGTGGAACCAACGGGTGTAGCAGAACAGGAGGAGCTTGTGCTCCTGACAGGTCAGAGGGGAGACAGGATGGCAGAGATGCAGGTGCCCCCCATGGAGAGTTCAGGGCTATAAAATACCTGGAAGAAGAGGTAAGGGGCCTTGAATATGATGGAAACAGAATCAGCCTACTGACAAGGACCCAATAAAGAGAGGAGCAAGTGGAGTCTGTCTTTTTTACAACAGCATTTGTAATTCCCTCACTGATTCATTTCCTTTTAGGCAGACTCTTGGCAATGTTCAGTGGACTTGGTAGGAACTTGCCTAGCATGTGGGCTTAGGAAAGGCAGCATGAGCATGTCTGGAATCACGCTGATGATATTATTATGTTGTTTATATTTTGTTTGTTTTATGAGATAGCATACATATGTTACCTTGTCATTACCTCCTCTCTCTGTTTTTGATTTATTAGAAAAGGGCCATCATAAAATTACCAAGCTATCCTGTGAACAACAGTTTGCTTTGGTAAACACTTAGTCATCTTAGGTTTAAGTAAAAACAGACTTGAAGTCAGCCCTGCATTAGGAGTAACCGAACATGGAATGATACCCTTCAGCAGAGACTGCTGAGCTTGGCTGTCAGCTTAGTAGGAGACAGTGTGTACCAGCATTTGGTGCAAACAGACTCTCCTCTGGGTGAGAGGGAAGGAACAGGACCTCTAAGCAAGTTCATCAAAATACTGGTCCATGAGACACAGCGAAGTTGGTTGCTCAAGCCTCCATACCTGAACTAGATCTACATATTTATCTATATGTTTATATAGTTGTGATTGAAGTTAAAAGAAAAGCAAAGTAATAGAAAAATAGGGGATTTCACCCTTACAGAGTTTTACACCTGAAATGCACCACTAATATCTGGTGACATAGCAATGAACACATTTACCCAAATGTGCAGATACCAATCCATGCTTCTCTTAACAGAATCCTTGTTCCCATCTCCAGTCCCACACAATGATAGTTTTAAACAGTGCTGACTCTGTAGAAGTGCAAGCTGCCAGGCAGCAAGAACAGCATCTCTTGTATCATAGGTGGAATTTTTGTGGCAACACTGAGCAACCCTTCAATCCCATTAGACATGCACAGTCCTATTCTGTTTCTGTTCAGCCATGAACAAAGCAATCCCCATTTCTATGCACTGCTGGAGATGATCAGATATTTTGGATGATGTTCCTATTTGCCATCCACCCTACTGCAGCTGTGAGTCAATGTCATCTCTTGGTGGCATTATATTATATATATAATAGCTGAGCTATTATATATATATTATTATATATAAAATATATAATAGCTGGGCTGTCTGCAAAATGTTTGTCTGTCCCCAGCCTCGTTCTGCAAAATAATCCAACCATAACTTATGAATGAATTACTAGGAGGTGGTGCAGTAGGGGCCCTGGGTACAACTGGATAAGGCAGTGAATAGTGTTGACATGCTACTCACCTGCCTTTCCATCCTTCCTTCTCTAGAGAGGTGCTGGTCTTTCCCTGATGTAGTACTGTTTTTTAATTTTTTCCTAACTGCCTCTTTTTACAGAGCCATATTATGTAGAGAGCTGTGAAAGAGGCACAACAGAGAGGGAAGAGGGGGAATGAGAGAGAGGTAAAGAAGAGGTATAAGCATCTGGGGTGTGTAATCTCTCTCCCAGCCTCAGCAGCAGCTGTAACAGTTTGCTAATCACAGGCTCCACAGGCACATTTTGTGCTCTTGCAAAATGCAGGGATTGCTCTCTTCTGAAGAAAATTTCTGCTTTCCTGCCTTTTATTGTCATCCTGAAATACCTCCACTGCCTCATACAGGAGTTTATTTTATTTCTGGTTTGGGTTGAAGTTGTAATATGGTGTAGCTTGGAGACACTTCATGCTTTGTCTATGCTGCCAAATGTCTCCCAGCCGTTTTCCACCGAGGGCAGCGTGACCTTTTCACCACATGGCTGAGAGGAGTAGTGTGTATTACTTGTCATTTAAGCTATTTTGCCACTATTGCCGCTCAGGGAAATCAGCAGTTCTACAGTAAGCATCTTTAAAAGCCTTGAGGTTTTCCTCAAATTCACCTTTTTAAGTAGTCTGTGATAATCCTGTTGCAAAAGGTTCCTGTCTATAACTCCATTTTCAGTCCTACTTCTCCCACTTATAATGGAAGAGGGTAAAATAATACTTCACTTATTTCCTTCAAATTAAAGACTTTAGAGATTCTATACTGTTAACCTGCAAATACTCATCTGGAGAGTCAGAAAGTCCATTTTGTTGCCATCGTAAAGTAGTGTTGAACTTCCCGCAGCTGCATGCAGATGACTGTAGCTTTGGTTTCAAGACATTTCTACGGGCTTTGCTGTAGGAATAACAACTTCTGGCAATTTGGACCTGTTTCCCACACCAAAGATACGCCAGTGGTGGGAGCTTTGTTTTCTGCTTGAGCCCTCTGTACCTCCTGTGGAGGTATCACACTGCAACTGCAGGTCACTGGTTGCTTTAGTAGGAGCCCACAATGAAATTGCTGTTTGCCACATGTGTTTTAAGATCCATTCAGCCTCAGTCTATAACTGTTCTGATCCCTTCATTTTGCCTACAAATGCTAAGAGGTCCCTTACGTATTATTTAAATTCTCTCCAAAATGGCCATGTTCTGTGTACTTTTCATCTTTCAGCCAAATAGGTGGGATATGTTTCTTTTCCTTTTCTTTTTCTTTTTCTTCTTTTTTTTTTTTTTTTGACATTTTTGTGCTAAAGTTTCTGCTGGTTTCAAGGGTAGAGATTTCTGCAGAATCTCAACAGATGGCTTGTCTGTTGCTTGGGCAATGCAGCTGGTCAGCACCCACAGGTGCCATTATACTTGGGAATGCTCTTCTTTCCCCCAGGACTGATGCCTTTACTTAAATATGTTCTTGGTAGAAGAATTTCAGCTTTTGAGTGAGCTGTAGTACATCCGAGTTAAAATTCTCTCTTTGGCTGTGTACCAGTCATAAAACTGGTATGTTTTCTTAGGACAATTTTTTCATCTTGTTTTGCCCAGTTCTCTACTTTGCTGACAGCCACAGGACTTGTTTCATGCCTTTTTAATTCATGATGCTGTTTAACTTTATTTCCATTTACCCTCAGAACTTGCTATCTGCTGTACAGTGCTCCCTGCATAGGATTCCTCTCTGAGCACGGTTGGGATTTTGCTGTCTCTACAACTCTGAACGTGTGTGAAATCAAAGTAGACACAGCTAATTTCTAAATAACTACAAACCACATTGGATAGCTTTTGGGGCATGACATGCATGCCTACGTGTTAGAGTGACCATTGTAGG